GTGCATTATTCTTTTTCACTTACATTTCTCATTCCTACCTAGGCCTCATGGAGTAGTCGCCATCTAGGTATTCGTTTAAAGGACTGTTTTTGTCAACCCTGTATTCTGTGGTGATTTCAACTGTGGATGAAATCGATTTATATGCTGCGGGTTGTAATCACGAAGGAACTGCAACGTGATGTAGTGTAGTAGTAGTAGTTTGTGCGCCTCTGCGACTCAAGGAGCTATTGAGGATAGCTTTTGTCAAACCAAAGCATTTTTATCGTTCCTGAAAAGTCAGTATACAGTTAAGACGAAATCTAATCTGGTCCTCCAGGTTGGNCCAGGTTGGGGATTCGACTCCAATTGGTGTCTAAGTTGGTGATAATGATGGAAAAATCGTTGATTTAAATAACTGGTCTTCCACTTTGCTTAACCCGTTGTCTTGCGTTTACTAAATACATTGGTTGAGAGCCCTGATGGGTCACAACAAGCGCTTTTTTATGATTGAATACAAGATGACATGAGTTTAGTGATAGACGGCTTCGAATGCAGTGTGTATCCATTTCACGTGATGAGTTATTAAGAATCTCTAGTACACGATCGCTTCATACACTGGAGTCGGAACTTGCAAATAGAAACCTGTGAATGCGGCGCACTCTCCTTTCATTTTGGCCACGGAGACTCGATCGTGTATCTTTCGACGTTATTTCTGTGTCAGTGTATCAACAAACCATGGTAGCGTTATGTCTGCTGTCTGTACATTCTACAATGTATCAGAACAACTCACATCCTATTTATCTACTTCCCTTTTTCACGCAGATCCGGAAAAAGATACCTGCTTTGGAGGATTCCTTAGTCGCTTCCTAATGGAAGAATTCCTTGGTTACGAGGATCTTTTATTGGGCAGTATCNGCAGTATCAAGCATTTGGCCGTAAGCGATTCGGTGAAAGGTCATATGGCGAATGTGGTGACCGGGCAACATTATCGTCTGGTCTCGTCACAGATGTCCAGGTCATCCTATCTAGTTGCCACACTGGTGATGCTTCTGTTTGTAAGTTCACGCCGTGCAATTTTCATCTTTTTGTTCATCCAGGAAATCCTCACATAGTTGCGGGTTTTAGACTGGTGATGGCACTGTGGTTTAGTCACTGTCACCGGCGAGATTTAGGCCATATGGTCCGAGGTTCGAATCCCACTGCCGCCACCTAACTTCGGTAGTAGGCAGCTTTTCTGACGCTCGGTTTAATACCGCACCCAACCTAACGGGGTCTTATGTGGCTCGTCACTCCAAGCCCCGGGATTTAGGCTACCTCTGCGTGAGTTGACAGCAAGTTCTCATGACAATGGTTTTTACCCTGTCGTTCATCACATAGTATATAATAAAAATTACCATTTATCGTCCCAGTCTTTAAGTTCTGAAACTCTGTGAAATGATAGTATTTACAGCTTCCCATTCAAGATTATTTCACATTTGTGACCATCGTTCTACGATGTACGATATATATATATATATATATATATATATAGTCATTCACATATTACTTATTGTTAAATATTCTATAAGGACTATCAAGTCACGTATGTTGCGATCAGTAGCATCTAACCCACCTACAAAACACTGAACCATAGTATTGATTTTTCAATGGACTGGCTCTGAAAGAACTGCCATCCCCGGTGTTGCAAACAAAGTTATTAAGACGAAAATACACTTCCTGAGTACAATTATATGAATGAACTGACAAAAGATTACCGGATACGCATGCCTGACGAGCGGCAAGAACCGCGAAACTGGTCGTGTGCTTCCAGGGAAATTTTGTCCAGTTATTCACATACTATATACTATACAGTGCAACGCCCTGCTATTCATCAGATGTTTTCTTAACAACGCTTCACATTTGAACCTCATTTACGGGGTTACATGTGATATTACCCCGAATCAGACGAAACGTATCTGTGCTGTTATCCACTTATGTTGTTGCTTACCATTTGTTAAATACCTTATAGTTGTATAATTTTTGAACTTCGAAGACGGTTCCTGGCGTATATGTTATGTATATGTTATAAGATAACGAACCCCAGTAGAAAAAATCATAAAAATGACTCTGCCATGGATTACAGGCATTGTACTGTCGCTTTGTCAATACTCTGCTTTATCAGTGCAACGAACTCAGCACTTTTCAGAGTGACATCTATCGGAGGCCTACAACAATGCGCTCAGTATTTACTTCATTACCGGTTAAATGGATTTCTTTGTTCAACTGTTTATTTTCCTCCGCAGTGTTGCCCGTAAACCTTCAGTGGGATAAGCCGAATTCCAAATGGGCTGGCGACGCAGTTTGAATTTACTGGCAAAATCAGCGCGTGCCCTCCTTTGTTTGGCGTTTAATAACGGACTCTTTTTAGCTGACCCCAGCTACAGTTAAAATTCAGTCATTATTTTCCTAATTGTGGCTTGAGAAATTTGTGGAATATCGTTGATAATTGTTGCTTGCAGCTTTCATCAGCTCCCGCCGAATTTAATCCTCGTCTTGCTTCAATGTGGTCATTTTTATTCTACGTGGTTGTCTTCCTGTCTAATCCCTTTTACTATGCTATAAAGTTATGTTTACAATGAACCACTGTCACAAGTCAGGAACTGAGACACCGGATATACAAACCTCTCGAATACGTAGCCTCTTGACTTCACTTATATACCAAAAAATCTCGGGTGTTTCATTCGGTTTAGGTATGGTAACACAACAAAGCGCCTATTCAATGAGCCCCACGCCACAAGTTCAACTTTTGAAGGTCAATTTTCACGTTTCTTAGAAGGTATTTTTACTTCATTCAAGATGAGGGATTTCACATGAGCAGTTTGCACCCACATAGTAATTTGTCAAGTGATGTAAGATGAAAAATATTTATCCGTATGAAAAAAGGTGTGCCATTTTTATTTCTTGTGTTGACCCGAATAAGCAGTCTCATGGAACAGTAATCATTTATCAGAAAGAATTAACTTTCAGGCTGCTCGGTGCAAATTGTTCTCTAATTGTGAACTTTCGATTTACTACAAACTTTGTCTTAATACTCAGGGTCACACCAATTCACACTGATACAAAAGAATTGAGAATATTGCAGTGGGGAATAAAGTTAGGAGTTAATGCTCTTTGGCTTTGGTTATTGGCATACCAGTATGTTATTGGAAACTGAAACATATTTGTAATCGGAGGATCATGTCGCACGAGTTCGATCAATATATGGGTATATGCACGGTAATGTGTATAGTATCACCTCATCCACTTACCTTCTCATGTTCTTAATTTTTCAACAAATGCATTCTTCTTGATAAAATCAAAGGCCGTGTTTACGTCTGGGAACTTGATGATCGTACTTTTCTGATAGGCATGACGGTACTATAGCAACTGTCAGAGGTTTGAAGACCGTCGCAATACGGTCAGACGTGATAAATCTCTTAACTGATCCCACATCGTGAGCAACCAAGTTACGACCGGTTAAACTCGGAGACCTGCGACAGACGTGTACAGTGGATGCACCGGTATACCCTAACGTGCGAAGCGCAGCCACTCCTCACGGATCTGTCTGAAGCGCTCACCACATAAACAACTTAATGCAGAATAATGCATGGTCAGATTCAATTTGATCGACTGAGGCTGATGCTGACGAAAAACGGGCTGGTTGGCGCATAGGGCCAGCAGCTGTTACTTTTTTCCAAGCGGCGGGTATTTAGCCCCAAAGGCTCTCACACGCATTTCACTCAAAGAAAGCTAACCCAGTGCAGCATTCATATATGGTGCTAAAATAACCATATTAGTCCGACTCGCTTTTTGCAACAGGTCGTGTAGCTTTTGATAAGTATATATGTGAGTGCATTTGGGCTGCACCTCGTGGGTAAAGCGAAACATGATTCAATTAAAGCGCTATATACCGGTAGATCAGGAACTCTGATTCACCCAATTTAGTCTGATTCTCAAAGAGCAAAATTCGATTTCTCAGTTTCACTACTGCAAATACAACCAGTAGTTAAAACCACCACATCGAGTTCTTTGTGGCAGCATTGCAGTCAATAAATCTAAGTTTTGCTGTCTCGTCTATAGGTTTATGTTCTTTATGATGCCATCGAGTTTCACCACTTCTAGATGTAATAACTCAAGCAAACCTAGTGATAGTTATCAAGCACTGTACATTCCTAGCGAGTCAGCTCGGAAATTGTTCGTGCGATTTCCTCTACCGTAATCCAACTTCTGCGTTCCACAGTTTCCTCTGACAGCTCTTTGATTAACTACTTCCTTTTTCTCAATTTTGATCCCACGGTTGTTTGCTCAGTATCAAAGAAATGGAGATTTGAATAAGCAGATCAGAAGAAAATCTGCTTGAGGAATTCCTTTCGCAACCATATTATTCTCTTCACTTAGCACAATGTAGTATATCGATCAACAAGTTGTCTTAACCATAATCCTTGAAATTTTCGATACAAACGTATGCTGTCTCCGAAACGTGCACACAAAGACCGCACTGCGCTCCTCAGACCCAACCGTGCTTCAATCTCCGCCAATTCGGCATCAGATATACCCGGTGGTGCCAGTGTCGGATTGCGCCAAGTATCAAGGCTGAGCGCTAGCTTCATTGCAGTTCAGCCAGTAGCCAGCTATAAGCTGTACGTATGGATGACTCATTGCGAGTTAAAAGTTACGGAATCAAGCATCGCTTCTGCATTCTTCAAGCAGAATCGACGTGTCATACCACTAAGAAGCCTTGAAAGCACAGCTTCATACTTGATAGGAATCAACATCAGTGCATATGCATGGAGTTCACCGGGACTAGTTCATTAGTTGAAAGTTTACTGTAAACAGCAGCTTCACTGTGTCACAGGACATTTGTCAAACAGCCGAAATTTTGATTGCCTTAGTGTGTATTAGCAGTATGGTTGTTGACTTGTCTCAAGCAGTAAACATCTAAGTTATCGTACCAGTCTTTATTCTTCATTTTTGATAATCATTTAAAACTCTGAGTTCTTTCTCCGTCATTGTTTTCCCTCTCCGGTTCCCTTTGCAGACGTTTTGTGTATCTGTCTCTTTGCGTTACTCCAGTCATCAACTGTTGGTGGTTGTCGGTAAGTTTAACAAAAACCTTTTTGTTCATGTTCCCCGGTCATACCTGTCTATCGTTTCTGCACCTCTGGTTTTTTCGGAATTGCGTCAACTCTAATGCATTTGAGCAAGTGTTTTCACGTTAAATTGACTTATGGTTACCTAAGATGAGTTGGATTGGCAGGTAACGAATTCACGATGAATTTTTTAAGTACTACAAAATGATTTCCTCCATCCTGCTATTCCTTTAGACGGAGATGAGTTCCAACTTGCGGTACACTTTCGCCAAATTTCACCACAGAAAGAGGTGTTCGTCATGATTGCCCTCCCTTTCATTTTATTTCACTTTCTTATATCTTTGATTCTGGAACCAGCGTTGTTCTCGTGCGAGGATAGTAGCATCGATTTGCTCTCAGGTGGTAGACTGTCTACTCTGAAACATACATTAGTTATTATACTGCTAAGTAAAGACCCAGGTCAGCTGCAAGCTTCTCTAGATAAGTTGAGTCCTAGTGTTTTTTTAATTTTTTGTTACCAATGCTAATTTAGGCATGTTCAGTATGCATTTTGAACCGTCAAACCGCTTGGCGATTGAGGTATGGTATTTACTTTGCCCCATCCAAGTGCAAAGTGCTTGTTCAATACTGGCCGAAGCCTGTGTCTGCACTCAACCTCTGTTGCGATCAGCTAGAAGTGGTTGATAGATTCAAGCACCTCGGGGGACGTTGTTGGGTACGAGATTACATCACGAATAACGAAAGCTAGAGCAGCTTTTGCCAACCTTTGGCGCTGCCATATCGTCTGACTGTCCCTCAAAGGAAAAACGTACATCGCCACGGTTCCTACTGCTCTGCTTTACAGTTGCGGGACCTGACCTCTCCGAGCTTAAGATGCCAATGGACTCTCTC